AAAAATGCCAATGAATTAAATTATACACAATTTAATCACCAATAACAAGCACACTGGCTAACAACAATGACTCAATTACACACCAAATGTATCAGTGCTCAGAAGTAACCTGAGAGAAGCACACTTGTCTTTCAGCACCATATTACAACTTGATTTCCAACTTCACTCAGCCCCATGCTGGACTTTTGCAATAATGGAGAACTAATTTGCCATCAGTACCATAACAGTCGTATAAGTTTCGAACAGTCTGATCTGGTGATGGAGCAAAGGCTTGGTTTATGTACAAAAACTGAAAGAGAGAGGTAGTTTAGTTGAGTTGTAGAGAATTACACTCCTCTCATCCTTTTGTATTTTGTTACCTAGATGTATTATTATACACAATTCTCTTCACAAAATTAGAAATTTGTTCCTATTACAAAAGAGGAATGCGGTTGAAATTTATGCACCAAGGATAATCAATTCCACACAGTTTATCAAAAATTTAAATACAAGGTGTATACACTATCCAAGTTTCAATACTGAAAGCATTTCTAATTTTCCCATTTGTAGTCGGATGAATAGTGATTAGTTATAACTTATATTTTAAAAACATAAAAACTAACTAAAATTTTGAAAAACTACCTTAATTTGGATTTATTTTTTTTATCTACAAGAAATTTCAATAAAGAGGAGTTTGCAGAACATTAAAGTACAGAATATTAAATTACATTGCATTTGGAATTCATAAATTCACTAAAATTATTAAAATGAATTTTGCAGTGTCTTGTAACTAGATATCATAAGCAATAACACTACACAAATTGTAAGATATTCTCAGAAAAAAATAACTTAAAAAAATCATTTACCAGGCTTTCTTTACTATCTAAATGAAGATATTTTCTCATAAATTCTATAATTTTCCCAATGGTTCTCTCTGGGGGCACAGCCCATTTCTTGATTTTCATTATTGGAGCATTTCCTGTAGCTTTTAAAAATATATCAACTGAAAATGAATAGAAATATCCAATTAAACATTGCATACATATATGAATACTAGTATAAATAGCATATATAGCCTAAATTCTAACTTTTTTGCTTGTTAGCTGGTTTTGTAACAGCTTCTTCAGTGGCTGCCAAAGACTGTGTTTCAGAATTCACCTCTTCTTGGGTCTCAAGTTCTTTATTATCTGCCATATTTTATTTTCTGTCACAATGATTCTATTAACACTTACAAGTTGTTGAACCTTTTACACACGGAACCCTATACTACACTGAAATTCTACACGAAATAATCTACGTTACAACCTACAATTTATACTTGCATTAATTTATCAAAAAAGGGCTCACAATCAGCTTCAGCTACAATCACTTCAGTTACAAAACCTAAGTTTAATAACGACTGACAGAAGCAATAGCACATTCGAACACTTGCTGAAAACAAAATCAACAAAGTCTTTCCGTTCTTCAATTATTTGAAGATTTTGTTCTTGCATTTGTTCACTACCAGAAGTACCAACCAAACACTAACAGATTGTAGTTTCCTTGCTTCTTTCATATGGCGAAATTGAGAGAAGCAAAGCTATGCAAAGAGTAAGAATCTTTACAAGAAGTGAAGCGAGTGTTTGTATTTTCATTTTGTGTCGACTGGTTTTTTCAGAAAAATAGATCATTTAATGTTTTTTGATAAATTGATTAATATTTATCGATTCAATTCGCAGGGTTAATATTCACGTGTTTCACCATACTATTTTGTTGTTTTGCACTTCCGGCACCGGAAACTGACAAGTGAATTTGGAGCTCTTGTTGATTGTAAGTAATTGTAAGAATCATCTTGGTGTATAAGGTTAGTTCATTTGTGTGAATAATTTCCGTGGTTTTAAAGGTTTTGTAGTAAATGACAGTGAAATGATAGGTGCCTTGATGATTCTCTCATGTTTGTTTTTTTCAGATGCTTTCAATGTTAATTATATACTGGCTTCATATTAACAGGCTTAGTGTCATTGATGTCAAACTGAAGCTGATATTTATTTTTAATTTTTTTAGTGATTCACTTCATTGTGCAGAATGGCTGATACAACGGTAGCAGATGGAGGCCGCATTGTTAAAATGGAGGTGGATTATGAATCCACTTGTGATGAGAAGATCCCTGAATGTCAAAAGATGGCAAAAGAAAACAAGATACATGATGCATTGGACATTCTATTGGCATTGGAAAAACAAACTCGAACAGTAAGTTTTCTGACATTTGGAAATTTTCAATGTGTGATCATGTTTTAATTTAGTATAGGAAAGTAAATATTTTGGTTTTATGTCATTTAATATAGTTATCATTTTGGGAAAAGAACAATTAAAAATTTGCTCTATTTGACAGAAAGTATAAATGATCTTCAGAATTCTTGAAGAAACTTAAGTTTTCACGATGTGTGCATTCACAAAATAGATTTTATTTGTTCAAAATAATTCATATCATTTTTTGTGATCTCATTTTCTTCATTTTAGTTACAAAGCTTGTGTTCCTGTATGCATCTGTCATTTTGTTCATGAAAACAGGAAATTACTTCAATCTTCCTATTTCAGATTTCGATTTCTTGTGATTTTCACATGGGTTATTCATTTGAGAACTTTTTTTGGCACCTTGAGGTGTCATCATGATTCTGATTAAAATTTGGGGTTAATGCCTCTTTACTCATTTCTTGAGGTAGTGTGATTTCTACATTATAGTTATATTAGACATCTCCGTAAATTATGAATTATGTAATTATAGTTAAGCTAAAATATTATTATTTTGTAAATGAAAATAACAGGGGCAACTTCAGTAAATAAAATGGTAATACATGCAGATATATTTATTTTATTCACAGATTTATTACTATGTTTTACGGAATTGCTGAAATGTTTTGTTAATTCTTTGTCAATTGCTGTAACCTGGCTTAGACACAATTTCTATTCTTCTTTCTTTCTTTCTTTTATGTTTCTTGCAGTCTATCAAATGTTGAATACAATTTTTTTAAATATATCACTTGAAACTAAGAATAAAAAATTGGAAAGAGAATCCTTAATGTGTTGAAAATATTTGAGATTATTTTAAGTTGTTATATACTGGTAAGGAAATTGGCTTCAAAACAAGAGGTTGCTGTAAATTTGTGGTGAAGAATATAAGAATTGTTTGTATGTTATTTCTGGAATTAAGTAGTTTTACTTACATTATTATGATGTAAACAATTTGTGATTTTTCCTTACAGAAAAAGGAGAGATAGCCTTCAATGAAATATTGTTTTGTTACCTGTGTATGAAATATTGTTCTTTTAACATTTCTTAAAAGAAACCTAAAAGTTGTTGTCTTATTTTGTTTTAGGGATGTGACATGGCTTCTACTGGACGTGTTCTTGTTGCCATTGTACAAATTTGTTTTGAAGCAAAGAATTGGAATGCTCTGAATGAGCATATAGTTCTTTTGTCAAAACGTCGGAGTCAGCTGAAACAGGCTGTAGCCAAAATGGTTCAGGAATGTTGTACTTATGTGGATCAGACCCCAAATAAAGAAACAAAGATAAAACTTATTGATACATTAAGGAGTGTGACAGAAGGCAAGGTACTGAATATTAGGAGGAGGTTATATTACTGAAAACAAACTTTGTAAAATGTAATAAAAAAGTAATTGATCAACATTGTTCTAGATATATGTTGAAGTGGAACGAGCCCGACTAACACACAAATTGGCAACAATGAAGGAAGAAGAAGGTAACATCATTGAAGCAGCAAACATAATCCAAGAATTACAAGTGGAAACGTATGGCTCCATGGCAAAAAGAGAAAAGGTAAAATGTGGTATTACCCTAAAAATGTCCTCCAACAATATCATATTATTATAATTTTATTCAGAGGAATCTCTGCATCATGTTCCTCATTTACCATGTTTTCCTGTAAAGCACATCTGTATAGAGTTGAGTTCTGGCCCCAATTCCTCTTTATATCCTTTTTTTAATTTTTCATTTTTATATTTGTTGTTTCAGTGGTTCTTGAGGGTACCTTATAGTATAGAGGAACACTTTCAGTGAATCTTCAGGGATATTTTTGGTTTGTTAATGATCCCAGTGCTATGGTCCATTTGATCTAACTTTACTCAGCACGTAAACGTACTTTATATGTATCCCTCGATCCTACAGTTTGTGATTGGTTGTGTCTTTCACATCATGATTATACTTAAATGCAGCACATGTCACAGCAAAAACTATCATACTTACTATTTTCACGATCGCCCAAAATACCAGCTACAACATGCAAATTTGCGTAATGATCAGAATACTTACATTTACAATGTGCCCTTTGAAGGTAATGGTGAAAGATTTCAACAGAATATAGAGAGATGTTAATTTAAAATTAAGCAAGCCTGAATCATTAACATTTGAAATTTTCTTTAATATTGGTAGCTCATACAATAAAAAATGTATCTACATTCATGCAAATGGCAGATTTAACACTTGCACTGCACTGGTTTTGCTCTACTTTTCTTCTTACAAGGAGCAATTACCTTTCTAGTTACCTGTAATTTTTTACTCATTTTACCAATGTTGAAACCTGTCATTTCTGCAGCATTTATTTCATCTATTGCTGTCATTGTCTGATTTTTAATCTCTATGTTCAGAAGCGTATAAAACCACACTCTTCTCACTGTTTCTGAAGGATTTTTCCCAGCAAAAATTTCAAAACTGATGTTCAGGGTACAGCTGTACTTATTGTTTTCGTCAGTGTAGTAAAAATCAATTTACAATTTAGCAAACACCACATTACACTAACAAGACAATTACAGCAAAGTCTGTAGAACCTTCTCATTCAAGAACGGAACATTTACTGGTCAAAAATCTGTTGGTGAAACTGCAATGTTATATGAAATAGAAAAAAACCTGCGATAATAGCTTCAGCCCATGTGAATGAAGTGTGGCAAAGGCCTGGTGAATAAACGTTATCTCAAAGAGTACTGTTGACAGCTGTACTGCCATTAGGATCATGCTTGGTCATGCTGGTGTTTGATTTCACTTGAACTCATAAGAGAACATTATTTCGACTTCGTCTGTGTAGAGACAAGAAATAAGTTTTGAAAGGGACCTAACGTATATAGTGCATGAAGCCCTGAACACAAAAACATCAGCAAATAAGAACAAGCAACAACAGCATGCATTTGTTTAGATGGCGAATAAAGTTCCAGCGAACAGGCCATAGAGGAACATGGGGCCTCTGCATTTTCGTTCTTTGTTGTTGTTGTGTGTGTGTGTTTATTCAAGTTACTACAAATTTCTTTTAATTTCATATAGTGAAGCTGCTAGACCTTTTTGTTCTCCAATGGCATTATTTTTGTTGCTTGTTTATTGGAAGTAATTTTGTTCTCATTTAAATTAAATTAGTGCTGTGTATTTGTGTTATTTACACATAAATTAGTTTGTAAAAAAGATGAATTAGGCATTTTCAATAAGCTATTTTCCTGCTACCACTGTTTAAGATTATCAGTCCCTTGAAAACATCCTTATGAGATTCCATTATTATCATAAAACTGAAAACCTTATTTTATTTAATTATGAATTCTAGGTAGAACTGATCTTGGAGCAAATGCGTCTCTGTCTTGCCAAGAAGGATTATATAAGAACACAAATCATATCCAAAAAGATAAATACAAAATTCTTCGATGATGAAGGTACCCAAGATCTGAAACTTAAATTTTACAGGTAAATATTTTGCAATTAAATTTTAAACCTTACAAGAACCTTTCATTCACTTTATTTCTTGCAAAGTAAGTGAAGATATCAAATGAAATCACTAGGAAGCGGATTTCAATGAAATGTAATTTTTTTCTTTTCATTTAAAAACAATGATTTTTAGTATCAACATTAATTTTATGTTATGACAAAAATAAATTTTTAAATGATTTTTTTTTGCATTTTTCATCGATTTCAACCAATGAGTCATTTTTTAACCTTCTGTCATTGGTAAATCATTTTTTGTTCATTTCATTGATTTTAATGGTACTTGCTTAAAATAATTACGACTTGCAACAAATGTTCTCCTTGGAATTCCTGTGTAGCCTATTCGATTTCTTTGCTCAAAGTTTGTATTGTTAGTGGTTGTGAGTACGTAATCTAAGGTTTCTGTGATGACTAACATTGCCATTGTCGGTTCAGCCGATTTTGGGATAACTAAAAACAGAAATTTCCTGGTAAAAAAACAATCCAAGCCAAATGTCTCTATGCTGAGTTCAATTGAAGAACCCTTGATTACATCAGGAATATAATCCAACAGCTTGAGTTGTTCATCAGATCTCGTTTTCATCCATTTTTTTGTTACTTTTCTTTGCATTTAGGGCATTTTAAAACATTTTATTCATCATTTTTGGCTATGTTCTAGGTCATTAAAATCCGCCCTCTAGAAATCACTATAATTATTTACAAATCAACCCAATGTTTATTTGGAAGATTGTTATAACATTGAGTTCAATACGAGTACAATTCACTCTTTGACCCAATTTAAGCAATGTATTTTCTCCTGTACAAGCTGCTTTTTTTCCGCTTACTTTTTTCTTGTTCTTTTCTTTTTTTATTGCTGAAAAATTGCTTACATAACATAGGTGTGGTTTATACACGAGAGTTCTGTAAACAAAAATTCTTGGAGAAAAAAGGGGCAAAACAACAAATTTCAAGTCTAAAAGAACAATAATTTATTTACACATACATTTTTACAAGTTGCAACAATCACTTCCATCTCTATTTTCCCCCTTAGTATTGTTGCCACTTGTTACTACTGCATTTCCACATGCTGTAAACAATCATCCTCGCTTCAGTCGATCTTGTTTGATATTCCACACACAAAAACTTCTTGGATCAGGTCCCCTGATATGGATACCCACGCACCCAGAATCCATTGATGCATGATGCTCAACATCCATTGTTGAGGCAACCAGTCAATGTCAGGGCATCGGTTTTCTGTGCCTACCTGCAGTAGGAACATTGCATGTGCACCTTAACAGGTTGGCTTGTTGCCTCAACCAAAGGCTGCATCATCCTATTCATCGCTACTAGGTTGCCATTATGTGTTTATTTTGATTTCAAATACTCTGTTGTGTTAGCGTAAAAGCTGTCCAAAACTAGCACCACTATTCCATGGAGAAGCTTCTCTTTGGGCATTGCTTTTCTTTTAAAAACAATGTATGTCAGCAATTTGCACCTGTCTGCCAGTATTGCCGACATAACAATGCAGCTTTGCGTTTCTGCTCCTGCTTTTGTAATTGAAATGCTTTCCACAGCAACAGAATGCATTTCTTAGTATCTGGCATATCAAAATACAGGGGCATCTGATTGGCATTTCCAATCTCCCCAGATTGTAACCATACTGCTTGTTCCTATTTTTTACACAACTTTGAAACATTAAAAGTTTTTCTCATACACTTGAGGCTTACTTTTGGCAATGGTTGTTTGACAACGGAGAGTCCCTGTTCCAGCCATGAAGTGATGCACCCATCCATAGCTGTCTTTATATTCACTACAAGGGATGCCAAGGTTCCTGGTGATTTGCAGCATTTCTCATAATTCGGAAAAACTTTTGCACTGGGTTTCTGTTACATATTTTAATAGCTTTTCCTCAACCGTAGGATACTTGGACATCTTCCTTTGAAATTCCCACTTGCTCTGGCTGGTGTTTTTTTACGGTATTTTTGTCCTTTATGCACCTTCTCACGTTTTTTGTCAACATTGAACTTTCTCCCAGCTGATTGAATCCCATGCTGTTTTGCAAACTTAATTACTCCTAGTTTAAACTTGGCTCTGTAACATTCACACATTTAACCCATGGTCTGTAGTGTAACCGGTAAGGTTGAGTTAATGCAAACTCATGACAAAAGTATTACAGACCTTTCCAATGTGATAGAGAAAACCATATTTTACTACATGGCCCTTCTGAAATTTCACATTAATTATTTACCATGTTTGGCAAAAATAAATATTTTTTTAGAGATATAATTTTCTAATTGATATTGAAATATTCAGTGTGGCTTATACATTTTACATAGATTCTTTCTTACATACTCGTCTCTTATTAGCCTTAGAGACTTTCCACAGGTAGTCTGTTATTCATTTATCTCTTATTACCTGTTTTTCCTCATTACTATGCAAGTTTGAAATATGTTACCTTCTCTGTTATGTGTTTGCTAATATGCACATCATCTTGCAAAAGTCCAAAGTATGCTTCAAAGCTGTGTCTACTTCAGACTTTATCCACCCATTTTAGATAATGTAAACATTAACCAGCTAATTCACAATTTAGCCATACTGTAGATTAACTGTGACAACATAATGGCAAATTTTTCTTATGAACTGGTGTATTGAAAATAGCCATTTCCAGGAGTTTGATGAAGAAATTTTCGCACAGTAACTGAAATACTACAATGTTCCTTTTTGTACGTTATTTTTCATTTTCCGTCTTATCCATAATTTTGAATATCATCGTACTGAAATGTTCTTTCCGTTCCTGTGTTATGCAGGTTTCTGGCTTATCCAGCTTTGCATTGGAAAATAATCTGTTCTGAGATTTTTTTCCAATGAAGGCAGGTATCGATCTTTTTCAGGTTAAATAGATTTACTGTATCATTATACGTAACCATTTCAAATAATAAGAGAAAGTCTGTTGTATTGTTAAATCAGTGATTATTAATTGTAAATATTTTTGGAACTGTGACAACAATTCAAGGTAATATCAAGAAACTGTTGTTTATGCATTAAGTGGTTAGGTGATACCTTGACAGACATTTTCATGTAATCTGTGATAATCAGAGCCAGTGGGTTTTAACATAATTTGTCCTGGAAATGAATCCATGTTCTTTTAATGTACTCATATCATTTATTTTATTATTCAACAAATTAATACAATGATCATTTCCTTTTACCTTAGGTTGATGATAGAGCTAGATCAGCATGAAGGCTCTTATCTAGCAACCTGTAAGCACTATCGGGCGATTTTGAATACACCCACTATCCAAGATGATCCTGAGCAAAGGCATCATGTAATGCAAAATGTTGTATTGTATTTGGTTCTTGCTCCTTATGACAATGAGCAGGCTGATCTCACTCATAGAGTGCTCGAGGAGAAACTCTTAGAGGAAGTACCTACATACAAGTAAGTTCTGTGATAAAAGCAAGTGTATGTTCCAAATATAACTTCATAATCCATGGTGTTCTGATTGGATCCATTTTTATTTCTAGTTTATTCTAATACTGCCTTCATTTTTTAAAAACTTAAACATTTTTCAGAGACTTACTTAAATTGTTTACTAACCCAGAATTGATCAAATGGTCTGGGCTTTGTGAAATCTATGAAGCAGAATTAAAACAAGGTTCTGCTAAAACTAAACCAACAGATGTATTTAGTCCAAATTCAGAACAAGGAAGTAAAAGATGGAAAGATTTACGTAGTAGAGTTGTGGAGCATGTAAGTATTAGAAAACAAATTATTTTGTTTGTTATTTCTGTACTATTTGCTTATGAAGTTATTATTTACTGTTAAATTTAAAAAAAAAAATGTATACCAAGTGTTTAAATTAGCAACATTGATTTGAAAGATATTGGACAAAACTTGCACAAGACCCCAAAGTGTGTTTTCCCTCTTGTTTGGAGTTGCATTTTTGCTGAATATTATGTGTAATTATTGGTTATTTGTTAATGTGCATGTAAAGAGTTTTAACTCGATTAGTTATCAAAATATTATTAATTGAATATCTTTTGTTTGTGTGGTTTCACAATTGCATATACCTATTCTGTAAAATCAAGTCCCTCTATAAATTTATTTATGCTCAACATCAGCCCCTAATCTGCTCATGGAACATTTTCCACAAAGGATGTTTGCTTAAGATCTGGTTGACCTTGAGGCCTTGTTAATTAGAAAGTGATATAATTTTCTTGTTTACTTGTCATGATATACCGTGATTGATTAATACTGATCCTTTTTTGTTTTTGGAATTATTTGCAGAATATTCGTGTAATGGCCAAATATTATACAAGAATAACTTTGAAGAGAATGGCTGAACTGTTGGACCTCCCCGTTGATGTGAGTGGTTATGACTTTTGCACAGTGGATTAAATCTGAAAGAGAAAAGAAAAACTTAAGAGTTATCGAAAGTGTTGACTCGGTTGCAGGGCTTTTTGCTATTGATAGGAGTTACATTGAAAACTATTAGCTGTGACTGAAATTCCTTTTTTTATTTAAATATGTAAATCGCTGCCATATATTGAACTATATATAGTTATATATAATTAAAAAGGAAATGGTATTCTATAATCTATTGTGTCCATCCCGTCACGCCGTCTTTATTACAATTATTTCTTTACAAATTTTAAACTAATAATACTTGTGACATGAGCGGTATTGTTACTGGATAATTTATAATGGGTCTTGGGACTGAAGTTTCCCCCTGTACAGTATAAGAAAATGATATTTCTCATTATGTATTAGTAATGGGTGGGGAAATTGTCTTTTTATTTCTCTTTGGGTTGTAAACATTGTCGAATTCTCATTCGGCAAGGTATTCAGTGGTACCACTAATTTAGTCGGTGGCGTCAACCTGCACCATCGTCACTTTCCTCCGTGACGCTATCAGTAAAATTAGTATACACACACGGGCACACACGCACACGTACATACATTACAATGACAAAATATCTAATTCATCATTCACACTTACTGACAAACTATTTACGATATTCACATTCACACTGTATACATCATAGTTGTA